ATTTCAGTTAACAGTAATAAGAATTACGCGGTAGACTGGTGGTTAAAGTGTAGGACTAGTGATGTTAGGATTGTAGGTTTGAGCCCGGCTCAGGGTGGTTATTTTAATTTAACAAATTAGGGATTTTCATTGAAAGATGCGTTAGGGGTGGGTGATTAGAAGATAATCAATCATAGAAATGATTAGATGAAAATTATTTCTGATTTTTTTTTTTAATTTAAATCAATGAACATTCGTCATGGCTAACGACTAGCAACCGAATTAGACCCAGTATTGGTGGCCAAGAATGGCTCAGTGTTATCATTTTAGGGCTCAACCAACTTTGGATGCCTGTCTTGGCCCATGACTAGCCAAGGTTGGGCCGCCCTTGGACCAAGCTTGGGTCACTTGTTAATTCCTATCTGGATGTTTCGATTTACCGCTATCCAAGTATTGTCAGTTTTATCGCTTTTCTGTGCTGCTGTGCCGTGGTACAATGGTATAAACCGCACTGGAGGGGAGTTTTCAACTGTTTACTTCAATTTGACATAGAGTAGACAAATTAGCAACAGTTTTTCTCTTCAACTCAAGCCAGTGGCAATACTCAAATGCTGCAATTGATCAAATATACATGAATTAAGTCACAGTTTTGTGAACTCCTAATGAATTACCTGCATTTAACTAACATTCCGCAATTGTGGGTGAGATTCCCATTGAATTACAATGAATCATCCTTGTGGTATGGAACACAGATCTTGCCATTGGTAGAAGCCATGTACCTCTTATACGTGAAATAAGCCAATTTCTCCTTATACGTTAATGTAGTATTTTGACACATACGATTATATTTGAACAAGCTTATCAAAGAGCATCATAAGTATGTTCTAGTCCGAACATAATTTCCCAATTAACCTAAAAATTATACCGTCAAGAAGCAAGCGTCTACAAAAGGTGACGAGAAATAATTTGAAGGTGGGGTAGCAGTAATAAGACAGGGAAAATACCGTAAAACGAGATGGAAATGGTTTCATGATATAGGTATAATACGTGAAGACTAGGAGAGAGAGTGGGTAAAGAGGTTGGAGGGGAAACCTCTACCCATAATACCGACGCTTGGTTGAATCTTCTTCAACCCGTCAACTTTCGCGGCTCCAACGGAGCGGCAGAACGCAAGACACCCTTTGAATAATGAAGCCTTCTGAATTTGTAGGGCCATGGAGAACACCCGTCTTGATTCCTCAGGCAACTGATATATAGAATTCCTTCTAACTCCATACGATTTTCTGTCTCACTCACAAGCACATTCAGAAATTCTCGCAAATTTGTACCTGTAGTTTCCTTGAAATACCGTCGTATCATCTCACTGGCTGATGTGACTGACGAGTAGTATCATCGGTGCGGTTTTCCCATGTGTAGGTAAACATTTAGGGAGGATTAAATGCACGGTACAATTAAAATCAACGACTGCAAACGCGTCTTTCACTCTGTCACCGTTGAATTTCGCCAATTCTTCCCCACACCTCATCTATGTACATCTTGTATGTGCACACAGAGTGAAACCTGACGTATTTGCTGTGTGAAATATTTACGCGAGAGAGACACGCAGTGAATATTTCTCTCGCTATTTATATTCACCCACTTGAAGTTTCCGGTTTTATGATGGTGTTTTTTTTCGTCTCTCAATGTCGAGTGAGATCGACGGGAATTTCATTTCAATAATTTTGAATTGAGTGAGAATTTTTCCGGGCGCTGCAGCTCTCATTTTCACATGGCATGTAGGGCGCTTGCATTTTTATGAATTTTTCTTGGAGGAGTTCATCGTAATGTACGCCGGTTACGATGATATTTACATTGTTTTGATGTATTCCTTCTTGTTTTGGTGAATTTAAGGTATATTCTCAGGAAATACGTTTTTCTTAAGATTGTCCCCATGTTTTTCGTAGATAATGTTGATAATAGTCCCCAGCTATTGAATAAAATGCCAACTAGTTGTACGACACACTGTTCTTAAAAAATTAATTCGTGATAGATTGATAAATTCCGAATACGGTGAACAGGAATAGCCATATCCATAAATTACAATTATCGTTAAATTATTAAGTAGTCAATTAGTTAATATCACTCTTAAATTTCAATTATCGAAGTAATCATCAATTTAAATATTCAAAATCCGAATTATATATTAATCAGTTATTTAGTTACGAAGATTGAGGATTATTTGGATAATCGAAAATCCCTTATAAGAAATTTAGTATTATTTACTTAATAGAAAATTTATAGATCCATATTATTAAATATCTAGTTTACCTTCAATTGGAAATTTAGATTATCAATTATTTTATTATTTTTAAATTTCGATTAGTAGGTACCATTAATACACACATTTCGAGATATTCCCGTTTTTCCGTTTTTTCATAAAAAAAAACTTTGTAATTACTCTAGCTTGCGCAAAAATCGAGATATCAACTTGAAATTTGGACAGTATCTTCCTCTCATGATAACACCCGGTCGTATTGAAGATGGGTTCAGTCGCATCACTAGTTTCGGAGATATTCGACTTTTTATGAAAAGCTTTTACATGTAATATCTTCAAAACTACGCAACTGATTCCACTTTTTTTCAAAACAATCGTTTCAATGCCTTTTATCTAAATCAATCAATGCATATCGACAATTTAATAACAGACAAGCGTAGGTTCTATGACTTTCCTACGTAGATACGCTTGTCTGTTATTAAGGTATCAATATGTACCCGTTCATACAAAGTTTTCGAGATATTTCCGTTTTTTTGTTTTTTCGAGATATCAACTTTTAGGCATGAAATCGATTTCTAGCAAAATTCTGAATATGAATAACTTTATTACGATTTCGAACAAATGGTTTTCATGATGGAAAATTGATTGTTTAAAAACTATTTGTAGAAAATGTTCGTAACTTTTAAAAATTGCACTTTTTAAGGTATTTCGTTAATCTTTTTCCCAAAGTAAACGTGTCAATTTTCTGGCAGATTTTTAAAATGTCTTCTAACAGTCCAATATTGAGATTCCTATTCAGACCTTGTGACGACTGCCACAACGAGAATAAATTAATTTAAAATGAAAAATTGAAAGCAAAGAATTTTAGGAGAGTTTAAAGAAAATAAAGCTTCAAAGTTCTGTAGAAATACAGGAAAGCGTATAAGAAAAAGAATAAGCGAAGAAATTGAAACAAAATTTAAAGAAATAGTGAAATTTGAAGAAAAATTGAGAAAAATGAATAATTTGAATTTAAACGGAGCGGGCGCACGTTCTGACTAGATGGCGCCAAACGTGCGCGGGAACCGCAGTCCACTTCGCGCGTAAAAGTCAGGGATGGAGAGTGAGTCACAGAGTAGGGGAAGACCAGTTGGCGAGGTCGAACGCCTATAAAACCAGGAACCTCGCGACGAAAAGTCAGTCTGGCAACGGACTCGTCCTCTACTAGTGGGCGATTCTACCCTTGGTGTTCCTTACGTAAATCCAAGTGGGTGATTCTACCCTTGGGTTTTCCTCTCCCAGAGCCGTAACCCAGTGGGCGATTCTACCCTAGGCCAAGGCACTCCCTGGATCAAAGCCAGTGGGCGATTCTAACCTGGTCGGGATCATCCGCACACCCTGATCAAGTGGGCGATTCTACAGTTCTCGCCACAAAAGAATGGTCGTGGCTGGGTACCCCCACTCTCTCGAACTTAGCTGCGACCCGACGCCTCCTACCACTCAGATCCATGATCATTTTACCCTGGTGGCGACGATATCCTTGGTCTTCCTTACCTAAATCCAAGTGGGCGATTCTACGCTTGGGTTTTCCTCTCCCAGAGCCGTAACTTAGGGGGCGATTCTACCCTAGGCCAAGGCACTCCCTAGATCACAGCCAGGATAAGACAGGATATCTGTACCGGTGGGGCTCTACCCCGGTGCAGTATTAGGTTGACTGAGAATCGGTGAGTGTTCTACCCCGGGGACGGTCACATAGGAAACTCTGTTCCGGTGAGGCTCTACCCCGGAGCGGCATTAGGAAACCAGAACCGCTGGGTTTTTTTACCCCGGAGACAGTTTCGGAAGGGTACTAGAAGGCAGCAGAGTTATCTAGAGAAAAGGGTTCTAAGAACACGGAATTACAGGAAGTAAAATAAAGAATTTAGAGAGGAAATTTGGCTACGGATAAATATAAGATAAAGGCTATGATATTTTAGTGTAAACTGGATTTCATAGATAAAAGATAAAAAGATGAAGATTTTGATATTTCAGTGAAAAGTGGATTTCATTAAATAAGAGTATTTAAAAAGATCTTGTGTAAGACTTGTGTAAGCTAAGCGCCATTGAGTTTTTAGAATTTTGAAGAAGAAATTGAATAATAAAGAATAGAACAGGGGAAAATTCGTTACCCCCCTTAAAGTTACGCAGAAATTGTTGACAAGAAGTTAAGGTTATAAGAGACAAAATCCATAAGTTCGTATGTATCAGTTTTAGGGTTTAATGTTGAATAAATATCATTATTATTTTTCGTTTAAACAAACGTCTTTCAGTGAGTTTTGTATTTGTACCAGTACCCCTAAAATTTGACGAATCCTGGAAATCTCTAGAGCTAAGAGGCATTTCACCGAGGGTATTCCGATTCATTCGGTCTAGCACTGGTTGAACGCTTGTATTTCAAGAAGACGAAAGCAAGTGGTTCGTTACAACCTGCAAAGTTTTGTATTACAATGTCATTGTAAAATCTCCAAAAAGTTAGGGTCAAATGGGGCTCAAATGAAAGCTCTGATGTCTCTTTATATTATAAAAATTCAAATTGACTTCTGGTAATAAAAATTTGCTACTCGAAATTAATACTCCCCAATTAAGTGTCACAAGGGTCAAAATAAGGGTCAGGAGGGCCAAAATAAGCATCACGAGAGTCAGAATAAGGGTCACAAGGGCCCGATTAAGGGTCTCAGAGGTCAGATTAAGAGTTACAAGGGTCATATACGTAAGGGGTTAAAGTTCGGTGTTTATGAATCTGTCACAGGTATACAAACGCCGATCTCGTGACATGGAGACAGAAATCGAGGAGGATCTACTCCAGTTCCAGCCTGGTGGCTCTCTGGATGCATCCAGCGGTTCACTTTCCAGTGTATCGTTGTCAGACAAGAGTATGTCCACCGATAACGTCGAGGAGTACTTCGGCGATGTGCCATTCGCAGGTAAACGACAACATACGCTTGGCTGCACCGCATGACGCTTTTCTGATCCTGGTGTAAAATGCATACTATTTTTGTCACGTTTTTTCAATTCTCGAGGTGCAAACTATTAGTGTTGTAGCAGAGGTATATGATTTGAAATATAAAATCACCTCTCATTTTGTGAATATCTGGAAAACTAGTGAGTTTGAAATGTATTTAAGATATGTTATTACTTCATGAAATTTCCTATAAAAAGGCTCTGTGCACCCAGGGAATAAACGGCCTAATATCACAAAAATAATTTCTTGAGCTGAAAAAACTTCAGACCACAAGTCGTCGATATTTGGAACAAAGCAGTACGGAATTAAATGGGAAATGATTTTTTCGTCTTTTTCATATGAGATGTTCTTGAAATAACAAGGGAAGTTTGAAACGAGGGGATGAGGTTACTTCTTTCCTTTGAACTCATTGCGATTGATAAAAATTGAACTGGGTTGTTGGTTGCTCGCTTCGCTTGCTCTCATTGCGGG